TTTATCATTTGAAGAAAATTTTTGTTTGAAAATTTTATATGAATTTAATAGTACTTTCATAAGTATTGGGTGTGGTGTGGCTGTCTACATTATCTGTTCTGTATTCTAAATCCCACACTCATACCCTGTTTCCACAATTGCTATAGGACCAGCTTATCTCGCGCTTTGACATCGTTTATATTAAGTAGATCTTGCGTCTAAACGTTTATTATTCTCTTACAAGAAGGAACGACAAGAAGGATCTTTCGTCCCTTCAAAGCCTTTCCATTCTCTCAAGTACAAAGCAAACAGATGTTCAGTAACAAAAACATGTCCGTCATACACACACACTGCAGTAAAGAAGAAAAATTAAGACAGCTACACACTCTTATTGATAACAAGAAATATACTCGATTCATTTGTCTTTGTTATACATAGTCGGGGTAGATGCACACTGTAGAACCACACATGTTGTGACAACATTTGTTTTCACCTGAACAATCATTGTCGACATCACACATATGTCCGTCACAAAGACCCCACAGAGGATTATCCTTTACGGAAGTAGATGATGGACATAGGCCTGGTTTTTTCACATTGTCTTTTGGTACAATACAATGATGGCCACATGGTTGTTCGATACGAAAGCAACATTTTTTGCCACTTCCACATTCATCCTTGTTGGGTGAACATGTAGATTCGCACTTTTCCGGTACCATTACAAATCCATAGCCAGGACACACCTTGTCGCCAGCAGCGGCGACGCCGATGATAAATAATAATGAAACAAGCAATGGAAGACAAGTCATCGTGCAAATACAACAAGCTTGAAATGATTGAAGACTGATGGAAAGAAATCAATACATATTGTTTTTATAATCGATTTATCATTAAAAAACGGCAGAACTGCAAGGGAGAGCAAAAGAAAAAAAACGAAAGATAAGTATAGATATGCAACAGACGGACACTATTCTCACAATGGAACAATAGAGTCCAACAATCAAGGTTTAAACGCTGATCGAAGTGCAGCATATCACAAACCTATTTTTGCCTTTTATGAACATCTTATCAATCCTTCCAAAATCCTTTAATGCAAGACAAATCCACATACTCACAAACTTCAAGTATTCATTGTAAAAGTTTTACGGCAGAGCTTATGAAAACAGAAAATCCTTTCAGAATTTGTTATACTTTGCATATGCATCAATTCATCAAAACAATGCATCATTTGTAAACAATTATTTGAAAAACTTGAAAACTCTTTCCGTACACTGTAAAAAGAAAGAGAGAATGAAGACGTTCACCCACACATCATCTGAAGAAGGAAGACAATCACTGTATGCAGGGGTGTGGGTGTGGGTGTGAGTGTGAGTGTGGGGTGGTGTGGGTGTGGGTGTGGGTGTGTGGGTGTGGGTGTGGGGTGGTGTGGGTGTGGGCGTGGGGTGGTGTGGGTGTGGGTGTGGGTGTGGGTGTGTGGGTGTGGGTGTGCTGGTTTGGGTGTCCACACCCACACCATTTTTTGTTTTCTTTTTAAGAGAATCATGTTAAAGTATTTCTAGTAATTGAAATTTTCTCCAACGATCTAGCAAAAGTTATATTTTCAATTATTTTTTTATTAACATTGACTCGTTTAGTGATACTCTTTTCATTATCATATGACAAATTTTTTACAAAAATAATTTTTAAATTTTTTCTAATTTTATACAACAGTGGTCTTGATACCTGAGTCCATACAAAACATGCTTTTGTAACTCAGAGATGCGCACCACTCCACATTTAGAAAATTTTCAGTTTCTCTTAGCAAAAATCGTGGGTTTTATTTAAAAATGATCATAAAATAGAAAAAGAAATGTATTGCATCTCCTGTTTTTCTTTGAAGCACATTCCTGATGTAACTGGTTAAAAAATAAACAAAGCATCATTCAAAGTATGATCGAAAATATACAACTTAAACAAAAAAATATTAAGTTAATAAACATTAGAATTCAAATCTAAATCCAATTAATAAATGATTCGATTTCTTTAGGAATAGAGATTTTCTGTTCTCCCATTTGAACGTATTATATACTAAACTGTAAATCATTTAGTTTCATTTTTCTTTCTTTTTATTTCGATGATTTCACACCACATTATATTATATCAAGTCAGAGTATGTGAATCATACTCTATAACTAAGACTAGAAGGTTTATTAAGCACATACAGTGGGTCCAAAAATTATTGGCCCACCCTTAGTACGTTACTTTTTTGATCACTTTACTGTTTGAAGACCAAACAAATTAGAGAGCTCTGGTTTTCACCATCATGAGGGTCCATCATGCCTAATCTATCTCTGACTATTTTGAGCTTTTGATTTTCTTTCATTCCCACAGTATGTCAAAAGATGTGTTCATGCACTCTATACATGCTCGTACCCGTTTTTTTGATAAATGTAGCTGCTAAAAATGTTCTGTTTTCATAACAGAATAGAGGTGATTGCCTTCTCTTATACTTACTAATATGAGCTTCGAGACCTTAGTTTCTGTTGGTTTTTAAAAAAGCGGAGGTACAAAAATGCGGCTGAGCGCACAAATACTTTTGACATACTGTAGGAATGAAAAAAAAAGAAAAAGCTGAGAATAATTATATATAGACTAGACATGGTGGACTACATGATGGTGAAAACTAGAGTTCAATAGATTGTTTGATTTTAAAATAGAAACGAAAACAAAGTGAGGTGGTAGAGGTGGGCCAATAATTTGTGGACTCACTGTATTTATTAAAAATATAAATACATTTTAGTTTAAATTTGGAGATTTTATCTGGTTTTATAAAAATTCAACTGTTGAGCAATTGTTGCAAAATGAAACGTGTCCGATGCGATAGAACAAAAAAAAGATGAATATTGATTCATTCGTCACTATCTCCAAGGTAATGATTATATTCAACATATATTGTCATAGTGTGCAGACTGAGGCCTGATCTACACTATACCAACTTAAATCGAATTAAGTAACGTGATTGGTTCATTCACATTTAAATCATCTTTTTGAGATGATTTACTGGTTAATTCACTTTTAATTCGGGTAGTGTAGATCAGGCCTGGGGGGGGGGGGGAAGCATAGCGAAATAAGCCAATAAATATGAAATGCACTATAAAATAATTCTAAGATGCCGAACTTTTAACGTACACTAATCGATAGAGAAAATTTTTCTTCATCGATCTACATTTTTGGTTTCTCTCAGAAAAATGTCTCTGCAGAGAAATTAGCAAAATACTGTGACCAATCAAAATTAGGGTACTTCTGCAGATGAACGACACCGCGGCACCCACACTCTTTTATGTCCTATGTTCTATTCAGCCAATAATATAGAGGTGTCGTTCATCTGCAGAAGAACCGGACGGATAATATAAAAAGAAATGAAAAAAATTGTCTAGCAATGAATATAAAGAGAGTATAGCTGTTAAAATCAAATGTAAAAAATATAATCGTTTATGCTATTATATGGGTTTGTTTACATGTTTCGACGATCTACCCGATCTAGTACTAATCGAGCTCTTCTCATATCTGTCATCTATCGACATACTATGGGGATTTACTCGTCTTAATAATCGTCTGACAATGTTAATAAATGAACGACGTTTTTTTCATCATGTTAACTTATCACTTGCAGATTATCATCAATTTAATAGAATTCTTCGTTTTCTTCCATTGAATAATATTCAATCACTTTCAATCGATAGTGATGCATCTTCACTTCAATTAACTCATTGGCCTTATTTATCTCGTCTGAGAACTCTGCGTGTCGTTGGTGTCCACTACGATCATGATGATCTTTCGGTCTTTCTTTTGCGTCATGCAGCTACACTTACTCATCTTATCATCAAATCAAATGAAAGATTGATTCCGGCAAGTATAGGAGAATTTCTTCTAATACGTTTAGATCTATATAAAAAAATTAAAATCATTGAAGAAAGAATTGCAAATTCTGAGGTACCGACCTCCTTTAAAAATCTTCTTACAATATTTTCAGAAAGAAGAAATAGGGTGTGCCGTTGAATTGTATAAAAGATGAATTATTATCATTATTTGAAAATTTCAAACGGTTCACAATTTGAATTGAATATGTAAGAAGAAAAAATTGTATGGAAATAGCGTCAAATTTCATTCAACAGAGTTTATTAGATTCAATAAAAATAATAAAAAAATATCGAGTTCAATGTAAAGCATGTTGTTCTATTAATACATTGAAATATAAAATAGTTTTTTCATTGAGAAGACAAGATCGTTCCAAAGCATTTATATTATGTCGAATAAGTTCTCACAACTATCATAAACATTTGTGCTTTAAAAACTAATAAAATTGAAAAATTCCATGAGATAAAATATTAAATAAAATAGGTTTCGTTCAACAGCTTTATATAATAGAATGAAAATTGTTTCAAGAGTCTGAAGATCTCCATCTATAAATCAGTATACTTCCAAAATATCTAAGATTAATTGCTAATAAAGATTTTAGTTGATTAGAACCTTCACTTTATCGATCTCTTTTTAAATCGATGCTCTATACTGCTTCAAATCTGACGATTAAAACCTTCGTTAATATTGTTCTTTATTAAATAATCTACTGATATTTGTATACTATTTTCAGGATGGTTTTACGATTAATTCCGAATATACAATAGCGTATATTGCAACATTAATAGAAAATATTCTTTTTATCCGATTGCCTGCACTACGATCACTTGACTTGGGCATGAATAACTATGGAACATGTTGGCCCATTACTACTGCAGTAGTTCCACTTACTTATTTGCGTATTGATTTACCGCGTATGGATACTTTGATTAGTCTTATATCGACACCACCACTCTGCGACACACTACGTCAATTACACGTTCATATAGGTAATGCGAAGTCTGTTATATCGACATTTAATCTATCGGTCCAAATGATTCAGTTACATACATTCACTTTTGTTCAAACATTTTTCTCGGAGTTAACAACTAAATGGAAAAATTTCGAAATGCTAACATCTTCGAATGTTATGCCTGTTCTTCGACGTCTTAATGTCCCTTTTTATTGATATCGATGATTTAAATCTTATTGGTTCATCACCACTTTTTACTGATCATCGTACAATTGATGTTCATTTCGCTTTTAATCTTATCAATTGTTCACAATACCTTGAAATGACACAATATATACCACGTGGTAGTGGTTTTCATCCACGAGAAATAATTGGTGTAACTTTCGTTGTTAAACATTGGTCTAGTAGATCCAAATGGCTCGCTAATGGTAATCCTTCTGTAAGTTATAGCTCACTTATATTGTCGTCTGCATTTTCTTGATTTTTAAATAAAATATGAAGATAATGGAAAAGTTATGTTCTTTATATTTATGGACTCGTGAACGTCGATATCATCATCATATGTGGTATACTCTTCTGTGGGCATTTGATGAATTCTTTCACGATTATCTTCCAGAGAAATGGATCATTAAAATACAAGTATTTGAACAACTTTCTCACAATACAACGACAATTGATCAATCATCTCTTCGTAGATTAGATGCATGTGGTCAAACTTTAGCATTACCTATATATACTCTTTGCCTCATGTTGTACCAACTGATTACATTGAAACGTTTCACCTGTCCTATTATAATAGACCTATTCATATGCATTTATCTGTTCTGCGCACTATAACTCTCGTGAATAGTATTCAGTGCCTGAACAAACGTTCTTTATTTCCACCAACTATTCGTTCTATTTGTATTCTACTTTTTTATTCTTATCCTAACTATATGTTACCAAACTGGTCAGTAGTTTTGGATTCACTTTCAAGTTTTTCACAATTGAAATCGTTACATGTATTTATGTATGATTTACCAGAAACTATCGATGATAAAAGTTGTCAAATGATTGTAAGGACAGCACCATTATTCAACGATTTTGCCTTTTGCTTTCGATATAAATTCGGTTTCTTAGAAGGTGATGAACTCGAAGCTGTATTCAAAGATCATGCAAAATTTATTAGACAATTATATCATTATATTTGATCATTGCCTCTTGATAAAGAACCTCATTATTCAATTGAAACGGAAGGTTATGGACTTACAATCTGGTTTTAATTAACATATAAATCTAACCAAAATCATTTTTATTTATGATAATTCAAATGAAATTTTTTTTTGTAAAAACAATATGAATTATTAATGTTATGCATTGTTTTTTTTTAAATACTATTATAAATAGGCCGTGAAGTCACGTCATTCAAAAAACGACTATTTTGCTGAAACAGCTAATAGTTAAAGTGAAAAATCATTTTCAAATTGCACTATAATAATCAGTTGGACTCTGTAATGTATTGTGTTATGTCCCCATTAATTAATTGAAATTCTTTTTAGTTTCAAACTGAATTCTATAAAAGACGACACTCTTTTCGCGAATATGAAATGTCTAGTCTATACAACAGTCTTTCCGAACATGATAGCGATAACCCTTTACAATTCTATAACTGTATATAGTATATATATTTGATGATATTCATTGGTTAGTAAAAAAAAGGAAAGATTCGACTATCTCAAATCATTGTAGTGAAAATTAATTGACTTAACTGAATTATGTGGAAGTAATATAAAGACAGCATGTTAGTGGATAACTTAGTGAGTGCCCAAAAGAAAACAAGTGAAAGATAAAATAATTTTTGTTTATTTTAAATAAACTTTCATTTATTTTTCTTGTTTTTCTCTTTCTCATAAGCTGCTCGTTGTTTAGGTGTTATTTGACTCCAATCAATTGAAGAATATCGATTCATGTCAAGACAATCAATGTGATATGGCTAGAATGATAAAAACAAATCAGTATTTGAATTTGATATGAACTACACGTGAAACTTACAACTCCATCCATAACAAAAGGAAAATTCGCTCTTATTGTACGGTTTTCATATGGGTCTCCTTTCTTTCGACAAGCAGCATATGTATTTTGTCGAACGGACTGTTACCACTGCCTACATTTAAAATAAAAAAAGCCGTTCTTCGATTCTAGATAAACCAACGCATCATTTGGATCTTTAAATAAAAGTAGAACTTCTTTATACTTTTATTAGCAATAATTACAGAATATTTAATAACATCACCACTACCACGACCACTTGCAATAGTATGAACATGTAGTGGTTCAATAAATGTTATATTATCTACAATGATGAAATACTTTTAATTATTATAATTAGAAAGATAGTTTAACTCACCAATATTATAAGTTAATTTACCCATTTGAGATTTATCACATAATACTTTTATATCATGAAGACTTTTGTGGTGAATTCGATCAACTTAGTGCATTCTCCGGTAGAAATAATCACATTGCATTGCTACAAATATTAATATCAGAGCAACCTAAAACAGAAAAAGTGAAAACTTTAATCATTCAAAGAAAAATTCTAAAATTACTTTTGCTGCTTCTGTATATGTCGAATTTGCTTCAAAAAGATGAGCTCCAAATTTGGAGCTTACAAATTTCTAGTTTTCAGCGAATTTTACTTCGTAACTACGTGCATATTTTTCGTAGACATTACGGGTCGACTCAGCATAGTGAAAAGTATCCATTTGCATGGTCTAAAATTGAGGAGTTGAAGTTGCGTGCTCGAATTTTGTTGAAATATAGACATTTGAAAACTCCAAATTTGAAGATCACCTTTTTTGACCGTCGAATTTGGCCAATTGATCGATAATGTACAATATTCTATAAATTATAAGAGACTTTGAACGAACCAATGCCAATGTAGATGGTGATCGGTTAACTCTGAATAACGTTATTTTTGCTGGTAGTGGGCACAGTAAATGCGTTATTTGCCGTCAAGAAACACGTCGTGGGATGATATCGATGCCAAAAAGTGCTCGACTAGATCTACTTATTACTCATTTAATGTACGCACCAAACGGCGTTCGTTGTTGTTCATCCCATCTATTCAATCATAATCGTTTATTACCCGATGTCGAGATAACTATGGGAAATCGTCAGCAACTTGTATCATCCCTCTCATCATCAGAAATGATTGACCTCGTGACTGATCTACTTTCACTCCTTCATGAAGCTGTTACATCTGCTCGTCTTGATTTTCCAGATCCTTCTTTAAATGATGAAGACTACTTGACCTGGACAGGCTGGACAAAAGCTCAGTTTGATAACATGTTTCATATCATTTCTCCTTATTTACGTTCGCCTTCTAATCGTCATACTCGAAATGCTCTCGCTATGTTTTGAATCAAGTTGAAAACTAATTTGTCTTTCCGACAAATAGGTTCTGTATTTAATATTCCACGAAACAGTGAAGATCGACGCAAACGAGCTACTGATGCATTCGATAGCGTTCGTCAATGTTTAATTGAGAAATTTGTACCTCATCATTTAGGTGTCCAACACTTAACTAGAGAAGACGCCAAAAAGCAAAATACGAGTTTTAGTATTGAATTTTTTGGCAATAATGTGACTATAACTTGGGATGGAACATATCTATATATGGGCAAAAGTAGTTCGCACTTAATCAATCGGGAAGCTTATTCTGGGCAAAAGTAAGTTTCTTTTTTGCATCGACTTCAAGATTACAAATCTCTATTCTAGGCATCGCCATTTAATTAAATTCATGTCCCTGATATTGCCAAATGGGTATATACTTGATATCATAGGTCCCTTTTGGGGCACCATGAATGATGCCTCTATTGCAAAGAATATCACTGACACATGTGATATTCTCATGAAATTGTGCGAAAAAGGTGATACGATGATTGTCGATCGCGGATTCCGCGACGTCATTGAATCGTTTATTGTTATGGGGTACGAACCGAGAATGCCTGACTTTCTAGCTAAAGGACAAAAGCAGCATAGTGTAGAACAAACAAACAGATCTCGCTTGATCACAAAAGTTCGATGGAGGATTGAATCGTACCATGCTCGTATGAAAAAATGGACTTTATTTAGTGGTCGGATTGAAAAAGCTTTCATCCCAAAAGTAGCTGATTGTGTACGTATTGTCTCAGCTGCACTTAACTGCTACCGAGAGCAGATTAGTCAGAATACTATCAATAGCGACGATAGCATGCTTGCACAATATATGCGTCAACAAATCGGTCGTAATAATATATTACAAGCTCGTGTTGATCAGGGCTTATTATCTTCCCGCTCTCGGTGGAAAAAAATTGAAGACAGCAATTTTGATTTTCCACAGATATCTCTAAAAGACTTACGTCAATTATTCTTCGAAACATATCAGATAAAAATCGGACGTTCATATGTAGAGGAGCATATCAATAGCGATGGAGAGTATATTATTGAAGTGAATA